CGGCGAGCAGGATGCTTTTGGGAAAGCCGATGTCGGTGATCAACGTCTTCGATGGTATACGGTCACGGAGCTCAGCAAGTTTATCTGCGAACTTTGCGCTAAAGAGATGCAGATGAGCAAGTCGAAGGTGCTCGGACCGAATTCGAAGTACAATCCCTCTTCTTGCGTGAACTGTTGCGCGAACTGGAACGCGGACACGAACGGTATTGCAATGTCTATCGAGGGGAAGAAAATGTACACGCGCCTCTTCGCGGAATGCGTGGTGGCAATCCCCGACCTTCAAAACCTCATGGTGGACGTCAACAATATCCAGGCCATGATCACGATCATACGGGAGCTCGTGTATTCAAGGCTGAAGAAGGAGCTTTCTCACGTGGGATTCGTGAGCATGACTGTGGATCAAGCAGCGCAGTTCTACAACAACGGTCACGGGAAGCAATTGTGCGCATCCCGGGATGTGATCGTGTGCAAGAATTCCGAGGGAGTCGAGGAGAGGATGTCCATCTTCTTGATAGGCAAGGATCTTGGCAATGTGGCATATTCGTCCTGGATCAAGAGTGTGCTCGACCAAGGAACGATGTATGAACTCCTGGGACAAACCACGAACGAGGAATCCTTGGGAGACGTCGTCGAGATGGTGTTGGGATTCTTTGAGGTGATGTCGTACTTCCAGCACGAACTGCCACTGTGGAAGGATGCATGGAAGATCAAGAGGGAGTTCGAGCAGTCAATAGTGCGACACCTCGCTGGGAACGTGACCCACACGACGGGCCAGAACAGAAAGCGGAACAGACCGTCCGCACAGCTCGGCGTGCCCACGAAGGAGGTGCTTGACATCATGAACAAGGTCAAGCCCAGACATCCACGATCCCTGATCACCGAGCCCTCTGCACAAGGTTCCAAGAGAAAGGCCACGGAGGGCGAAGATGAGGGTCTTGGTCAAGCACCAGACCCGAGTCGAAGTTCTCAAACCAATACTGAGAAGGAAGACAAGAAGCAGCGAGTGATCGACGGGCGGAGAGCGGCACTAGGATTCCTGGAGTCAATGGAGAAGTGCATGGGAGATATGGGGATCTGTAAGAAGTGCGCGAACCTGGCCCACGACGGCGACTGCAAGGACATTGAGGAGGCTGCTGGAAATGAGAAGGCGATGAAGGTGCTCCGTGAGCTACTCAGCAGTGACCCTGTTTCATCTGATGAAGACATGGGGGATACGGAGGAACCGTCCTCATCAACGTCCAAGGAAAGAAAGAAAGGGGGACAAGCAGGGAAAGAAACAATTGAGATGTACAGCTACACTATTAATTTGGTGGAGATGGCTGACACGGCTGAGGGAGGAGAGCTACAATGTGGTGGCGTCGACCTCACCTACAACCCGTGCGGGGACAGCAGGACATTCAAGAAGACGCTTGAGATGGGATGCGACACCATCCCGTGCTACATCCCGAAGTACGGCGATGTGAGTGATGTGCACTTGCCATGGGCGTATGCGTCCATCGTTGACCCCAAATACTTTCCCAAAGGTGCAATCCTTGAGCAAGTGGACGTGATGCAACTTGGCAAGAGTGTCAACTTCTGCATTGCTCCTTTCGACGGTGCTCCACTATGCAGGATTGGTGATGATCGCTCGGTATTTACTACAAGGGACCAAGCAAACCAGCTATCTCACGACCTATGCAGAGTCCTTCGACACAAGATCGGCAATTGCCGAGGAAGTGCTTTCAGGTGCGACGAGGGTGGACGACATATTCCCACCATACACCACGAGAGCGAAACGATACATGGGCATCATGGAGGTGATCAAGTGGCAGGAATCCGGAAGCAGAAAATCGAGATTCCAGGTTTTGGCAGCAAGGTTTCCGAGCATCATGAACCCGAACGACACGAGGGCAGCCAGGGAGGAAATGACCGAAGCTGGCGTGGATCGGGACGACATCGACAGGATGTTCAACAGATGCGATGGATGGTACAGACCTTGGTGCATCCGAGTCACAACCGGTCACAGTGATTTTGGATTCATGAGCTCATCCGCACTGGCGAATAGGTATTCCGCAAGAATGGGTGATTCTCTCGGAGGAGCATTCCATGTGACGTATGTGGAAAACCTGCCAAGCATCGTACGCTGTGGGTTAGTCCCCGGCGGAATCGATGGCGGCAACAGGCTAGCACTGCACTTCGGGGCGTTTGCTCCATGGGATGAGATGAACGTGGCGACGAAGACAACGCTACGGAACGTGAGGAGAGGGGATCCGATTGCGATCATCTATATTCCCAGTGCAACCCTCGCGCGGTATGGGGCTGGAGTCGCGGCTAATGGGACTTTCATGGTCTTTGACGTGATCCCGTTCTATGAGGTCAAGTCCATTTGGATTGGCAAAAGCAACGGAGGGAAGCGCCTGGAGTACGCTGACATCAAGAGGGCGTACTCGAAGTGTGTGGAGAACGAGATCTGCCCTGGCTTTGTCAACTCTTCCCAAGAGTCGGCTGCGATGTTCCTCCAGAACGTCGCAAAGATCAGCGAGAGGATGCCGGAGACTGAGACAGGTGCCGATAATCTGCACTACATCGTTGACATGGTTAATCGTGCCTGCGAACTCTATCGAATCAACAAGATGGAAGAGTTCAATGCACAGGTCAACGAGGTCCGGGACGAAATCAGCAAAGTCGTCATCCTGAATGACGAGACATGGGAAGGACTGAGGTGCCGGATATGTCCATCATGTGCGACCGCGATCCCCACCTGCTTCTGCTTATGCCTGGAGTGCGAGGCACAACTGATCTCCATCGGAAGATACTACATTCACATCAAATCCGATGACGAGGAGGACAACCAAAACCCCAACGTCTCTGGAGATGCCAGGCGTGCACAGGAAGAAGCTAACCACGATGCGGCAGCACAGGAGGATGAAGACGAAGCGGAGGAAGTTCCGGGAGAAGATGACGACATGGACACGCAAGGATATACATCCGGCTATGCGTCAGAAGAAGAAGACAGCGGTTGGCATTACCGCGACACCGATCTGGCGTCACGGGACATTATAAGTTCCCAACGGATGGCGATCTGCCTTGACGAGCCGCGTGAGGCTCAGTACATGGCAGGATTTATCGCACTCCAGCTGTCCAAGATGTGGGGGATGTTTGAAGGTGGTGAGGAGAGAACGATGAATGCCGGACTCGAAGGGAGGCCGGGCTGCCCTTATCACAATGACTTCAAGAGGTACCCCAACATCACCGAGCATGATCAGGAAGGTATACTTTTGCCATCAACAATAACGAAGATTTCTCAATCGGAGAATGTTCGGACAAGAGCCTTCCGATCGGTTGAGGAGCGTGACGAATATATTCGTATGATGGTGTGCAAATGCGAGGGACTTTACACATTCTACAAGCTGTGGATTGCAGCGAGAATCCTCGATGTCACCAAGGAAGAAATGAAGCTCCTGGTCAAGGACCGAGTGCACCCGGTGGGTGATATTATTTTCAGATGTTTTGCACTAGCTTTCAACTGTAAGTATATATCATTCGTGAGGGATGGCCTAAACCTTGGCAAGAATGGTTACACGGTCAACGTGAGCGCCATCATCTCGGCCATCGACCCGAACAAATGCGACACACCCCTGCTGGATTGGTGCCTTCGGAAAGGGCACTGGTTGCCAGAGGACTACAACAAGAAGTGTGTCCGGGCACGAGAAGCCCAGAAGAACTTGGACGAGGAGTTCCGCCGACGTACCCATAGGCTGTCCATTGGGGACAGGTATGCTTCGTGAAGATGCTGATTGCGGTACGATGTGGGTCAGTCCCCATCTGTTACTTGCGTCACATCGACACTGTTTCGGTGGAACGACTTATGTCATGATTTATATTCATGTGTCCAAGATGATTGGGTGTGTACATGGTTACATATTCCGATGACTATGACGCTCTGGATATTCATGGATGGAACTATTACCTTATAGATGATATCTTTTCATTATTTATGCATTGTCCATGGTATCTGGAATGGCTATGATTTGCATTGATTACTCACCGATGTTTCTTTGCCGGAATTATGCAGACCGATTGCGAGCAGGCGCCTCTGGTGGACTTTTTCGGCCAACCCATTTATGGATGACAGCTGCGCGATGCGCAAATGCGGCAGCTGGATTGTTCATTGGTGGTCAAATGACGCGACGATTGTGTATTATATACACCTGCATATGGATGTGTGCTTCGATTGGAGGATGAATGTTTCACTTTTCGTACAATCGAACCCGGCATGTTTCACAGCGAATGAACGGTGTAGTGATAGCAAGTAAAAGAATGCACGACACGATTTCGTAGTTGAAGCCGTGGCCAGTGGAACGTTTTGTGGTGTTTGGACCGCATGATGAACAATGCGACCCAAATGGGGGATGTTAAAACCCTCTAGGCCCCGTGCCGAAATTGGGTAGCTGTTCTGAGGTCCTTGTTGGTGTTGCTTCCCAAGTTCCATTGATCGCCATTTGGCTCAAGACACAATTGAGGTTCAAGATCTGATGTGTGACTGCATACATACGTGATCGGCATTGAGAGCGAAAACACTTCGCTTGCGCTGCATTTGTCAGGACTACTGTTGTAACTATCATTCCTTCTCCCTTACAACGTTTACACGGGTTCGGCTATAACGGCATCGTCCGTATACACCTTTCTACGTGGTTGGTATTACAGCTTGAGGGTTCGGTGCATAGCGTCCCACGGGACGTCACCTTGCCGTCTCTTGACAGGTAAGTTCCCTTCTGGGATAAGGTACCCCGGCAGTGGGCCTCACCCCCCCCCCCGGCCGGCCCCAATTCAAAGGGGAACCGCCTCGGCCAACCGCCAAGCCGATGGCTCGAAACCCCAAGTCCCTCTGGCGTGTTGCTCTCTTGGGATCTCGACGCTTCGGCTTTTGGCTTTCCATTGGTTTTCTTCGCTTTCCGTTGGCTTCCGCATGGAAACCGAAGCCCCAAGGTGGGAACGGGTGACCCAAACTCGGAACGCAGGAGTTGGACCAGCGATGCACCGTGGCGCAGCTGGAGAAGGTCTTCCTGGGCTTTGCGCGCCCGCGCTGCCTGGAGCCACCCGCCGGTTGGGAAGGGGCTGGGCGTGTTTTTCTCGACGGGGATATGGGCGGCTCGTCTTTTTTCGATTGGAAACCTTTGTTCTGGTGGTTTTAAAGAGAAGCCAAAAGGCAAACTGCAATTTTGGGAGGTGCAGGAGAAAAGGACACACCTAAATTCTTGCCATTCGTGGGAAAAGCGGTTTGTTTTTTGTTGTTTCCCTTTCAATCAAAAGGGCTTTTTGGTCAACCTCCAACTGGGTGGGGCAAATGGGGGAGTTGGGAAGAACGCAGGGAATGTGGTTGGGATTGGGGGACAAATGGGGATGGGAAACGACAGGTTTGACGGAGAATGGAAATCCAACTGTAAATGGTTGCTTTCATTTTCTGAGAACAGGATTCCCGGAGTTTGCTTTGAAGAACCAAGGCAACCAGGGGTTTGCTTGCAAAGCGCATGACTGAGCGGGTTGCTTGTGCACCAAACAAGCGACCTGGAAGGCCAGGTTTGGATGTGGCTAACCGGTGACTGTTGCGGTGAAATGGATGAAAAGACAGCGGCTTGGCTACCTATAGGCAGCCTCTATAACGGGTTCTCCCATAAAGTGGCTGGCTGGTCAAGTGTTACGGGACATACCGGGAGATAGGAAGACGATGATTTTGTTTGTGTGTGCAGATTGTTGATTGTTTGAGGTGGTGACACTCAGTCTGAATTTGTGTTGCTCACAGACTGCCTTTGTATCCACGCCAACCTGACTCATACGACGACCTTTGATGTACACCCGGGATGGCACTTGTTCCAACCACTTTCAATGGATTGACCGGGCTTCTCACGGGCGCAGAATCTTTCAGGACAAATAGGATGCCCTCAATTGTTTGGGCTCAAGGTAACTCTTCGCACGCGAGGTGTTCTCTTCGCCCCCGCCCCAACGCACCCTTTGCGGTTGTCTGCTCATGCCTCCATCTGGACATATGCCCCGAAGTGGGGTCAGCCTCCAAAGCTCCTGAACAAGCTCTCCCACAACCCTAAAGCCCTCCAAAACCCAACAACTGGGGTCAGTCAGACCCTGACATCGAGCGGGAAACCGAAATCACAAGGCAACAAACCGAATCCGAAGGGAGACACTGAAGGGTCAAAGAGGCTGCAGATTGATGCATGCTGGCATAAGCAAGCTCTATGTCTCCCTCAGCCCTGTCTCTTGATCAAGATCAACAGCAAAGCCTTAGAATCCCCACAGATTCTTAGCCCAGTCGAGGAGCCGTAGTTGGTCCAATTCTTTTTTTTTGGGGGCGATTTTAGCGACAGACAACTGCTTTTGTTTGCCAATCCACTCTGTAAAGAGAAAACAACTCGGGTCCCGGCTTTCACGAACGAGAGGCTCGGCAAGCTCTTTGGGGGCCTCCGAACTTTGCATCTCGGCGTGGTTCATGAGAACCTGGTTGGAAAGGTTGAAGAAAATGCTGGTCAGGGAGTCAACAGTTTTGGGAAAACCATATTATATGGGGTTCTTTCAGCTCGGGATCGTTCTCTTCCCAACTGAGAGAAAAAATGCAGAAGGGGAACACTGACATTGGGAATCCAGCGGTACGTGCATAGTTGTTCTTGGCTCTCAGGGAATGATGTTGAAGAGTGCTGGAAATGAGTTCGGCTGACAGCTATGGGCTCTAATGGGATGGTCCGAGCTTTTTGATCGTCGTGGCCACCCTTGCAAGGAACGTGGGGCATGCATCCATATAGCCGCACGGTGAATTTACAAGCCTCATGCTTTTGGGGCGGACAGTGAAGAGGGAAACTGAGATATCGTTAACAAGCTTACCTTTTAAGGTTTGCCAATTTCGGCCGTAAGCCACAAACCTTCTGTTCGGTTGCAAAGGCGGAGGTATTGTTGAACCCGGCCCTCGTAACGATCTCCGATCTCCGATCTCCGCTGCCTTTCGTCCGTATCGAATTTCAACGAGTTTCCCAGGTCCCAGGTCACGGAGAAGACTTCGGTGTGGCTGCCGGAGCTCTTCACGGCGGGGGTTTTGATGTCGGAGATCATCTCCTCCACCAACAAACTCCATTTCGCGCCATGACTTGCGATCCAAATGGATGGGGTTCGAAGGCGCGCAAGCTCCATCTGTTCAACTCGGGTTTCTTTGAGGGACACTACACTTACTTGCAAGGGTTTGCCAGGAAGCCCCACGGCCTAGACGATCTGGGAAATGAGTTCCTTTGGGAGGAGTAATTGGAATCCCCTTTCTTTGGAATCACTCATCGTTTGAATCTCCCTTTGCAGTGGGGGGCAGGCGTCCTAAAGTTTGGAACTGTGTTGGCGAGCATTTCAGGTGGGAACCAAAAGGCTCCCAGCTGCAAGTGGTTCCAGCTCATTTTCCGAAACGTCCCCGTAGTGTTTGTGGCTCAAAAAGTCCAAGGACCCCAGACCGCGTTGTTTTCTTTTGCGGGAAAAGGCCAGGGGGGGGGGGATCCGCGGCTTTTGAACCAGCCAATCCGCTCCCAGGTTCTTGGCCTAGTCGATGCCGACGGCAAGAAGAGCTTGAGCGAGAAGGCGAGCGAGAGAGGCTGAGAGACGGCAGACATTGGGGCCATTTGGGCGTGACTCCGTTGTCTTGAGATACCTGTGCTGGTTGTACTTGTCTAGAAGCCAAAGCGAGATCTCCCCATGTTCGGGCAAACCTTTACTTGGGAAGGTTCTGTGATAGCCAAAAGTTCCCACTTGTTGCCGCATCAGTGTGTGATCCTTCTTGGTATGAGTTTCGATGTTCGAAGTCGGTTGGGGGTCCTTGCCACAAGCAATCTGCTCAAGAGACCCGCCACTCGTTGTCGAATCCGCTCAGGAGTTCGGCAGCTTCGTGGCGCACTTCATCCGCGGGCTTTGCGGCGCCTTCGGGCTCAACAGCGTGCCGGACGGCCCCCGAACCCGCGACAAGGCAGGGGCGCTTCGGGTTTCGGCCGGTGGGGCGAATCGGTTTGTGCTTTTGCGTTTGGGATCGTTTGTCGGGAGGAAACAGGCACCCTCCCGACTCCCGTCCAACATGGAAGCTGACCGAGGGGGCTGGAAAACTATTCTTACCCCTTTGGCACGAGCACGATCGAACGCGCAGGTGAGAGTGGCGTGCCGCACACGCCACCGGGTGAAAAGCCCGAAGGCTGACCAAGAAGGACCCTCAAAAACGGGGGGGGAGCTTTGCAACATCCCCGGAAAGGCAGCAAGGTGGGACCAAGCAAACAAGAAAGCCCATGGCTCACTGCACAAACTTCCAGCAATTTGGTATCAACAGCCCGGCGCCGCGCAGCCCGAGCGGGAAAAACAGCTCGGAGTACCTTCACTGGAGCTAGCCCCGAACACAGCCAATCCCCATCGCAGAGATTGGCGCACGCCAGGATAGGGAATCCTACACGGGTGCCACAAAGTGCGAGGGCAGCGCCGCCATGCAGCCGAAGAAAGGAACACCGCCTGGTAGAGGGGGACCAGTCACAGAGCTGCAAGTAGCCAAAGCACAGGAAGAAGACTGGAAGAGGTCGCGCCTGCTCAGAACAATCGGACCAATGCCCGTCCAACAGCAGCATCTGCGCTGCATCAGAACTGCCACTAGTTGTGCAAGTTGCTTGTACTAGGTGGATGTTCAAGAACGGTTGTCACATGGTGCCATTTTGCATGCCCCACCTCTCTCTCCACCCCCTTTTTTCTCCAACCTTTTCAATGGGGGGAGGGAAGGGAGAGAAGGGAGAGAGAAGGGCAAGGAAGCGAGACAGCTCACCGCCATATGATGGCAGTCGACGACCGGCGGAGCCGGCCGGCTCCCCTCCTGGATGGAGGAAGCCGGCCTTCCCGCCGTCTTCCGAGGAGACCCTCCCTCGAGAAGGTGAACCGAGGTGGGTGTCCCGGAGGAGGTCCCGCAGCCCGCTACGGGGGAAGGGCCTGCCCGGGTTGAGCGCTAAAGCTCGCCCATCAGACCCACCCTCAGAGATCTCTCTGGGGAGAACTTCAGATGTGTGGTCTGCGGGGGCAGGCTGCACGCCGGGAGATCGCGTCTCTCCCGAGGTGCAGTCCAGAACACGTGGTTCGAGCGGTCAAGTCGGGCAAGGAGGGAGACCGCCCGTTGCAGATCAACGCCAACCCTTTGCCCTCTCCGCGCAGCTGCTCGCCCATCGCTTTGCACATGGTGGGAGTCCCTTGCACCCAGGAGCCGGGATGACTTCCCTCCCTGGGCAAGGAAGGGTGGCTCCAGCTCACATCAGCTGGGTGAACCAGCGCCGACCCTGGGTCCAGCCTCAGCAGCGGCGTTCAGCGAGAGCCCTTTTCTCAAGAAAGCAAAGCCGCTGCAGGAATCCTAGGAATAAAAGCATGTGAGTTCGACAGTGACTTGGACCTGCAGGGAAGGAGAGTCCAGGGCTTGAAGGGGCAGAGGTCATGTTTGCGAAGAAGGCAACCCCTCCTCCGCAAGCCATTGTTGCCGCCCCGCCCAAGCCCGCTGGTGGAGTTGGTCGCCCACCTAGCAGGTCTGCGGGAGAGGCTTCTTGAACAAGTTCAAGGACGCGTGCTTGGAGATCTACAACACCCTCAAAGGCATGGGTGTCCAGATGAGATCACCGGGATCGTGGAGCCTGCAGCTAGCCTGGACGTGGAAAGATTCCACTCACCCAAACAGGGCGGCGACCGGCCTGAACTACACCAGGCTGATGAAGAGATTTCTGGCCTGGAGATCAGGCAGGCCGGACTTGCAGAGCCGGGACGGTGGCTTCGATGCCAAAACCGGGGTGCTTGACTTTGTGGAGTACCTCATGCATCAGCAGGTCCTTTTTGTATCCGGTTCACTTGTTTTCTGTATCTTTGGGTTTTGAGGCTGGAGGGCCTCATTGGAACAGGGCAAGGAGACTGTCTGGTAGCTTTGCCAGCGGCAATCCGGCCCAACCCAGGGTTCACCAAAGCCACGCTGGCCGCCTTGGAGAGGATCACCATGGATGCGTTCTTCTCCAAGCCGCAGAGGGTGGCTTGCGGCAAGCTACGCTTATGCGTTCAAGCCTCCACTCGCTACGACGACATCTTGAACACTCCCCTGATGTGCTGCGAGTGGGTGAGGCGAAATGGCCGTTGTAGCTGAGCGAGGATGAGCAGGACATAGGCCTCACCATGGAGGAGCTGATGACCTTGAGGTGGCACGGGGGGGCCAAGGCGACTCTGTCCAGTGTCACGCAACACCTCGGATTGAAGGACAAAGCTGTCCGATTCCAAGGTGCGTGGCGAAGCAAAGACGAGACCATGCCAGACACCTATTTGCGGGAGGCGCAGACCATGGTCCTTAGGGCCCAGGAGAGGTGCCTAACTACTTGCGATGGCGGGGATGTGGTGAAGTTGATCGGGGTGCCCTTGGAGTCCAACGAACAGGTTACCAAGGAGGACCTTGATGCCGCCCGGCGCGCTAGAGCCACGGCGTGCGACTCCTTCGGCGGCGCTGCTGCCGGTGACCTTGCAGATGCCTTCCTCGACAAGGCTTTCGACGGCGAGGGCAATGTCGACAGCGAAATGCTGAAGGAAGAGTCAATGGCTCGTGAACATGCAGCTGAGGCGGAAGCTCTCTTGGATGACGCGCTTTCCACCAGCTGCTTTGCGAGCTGAGTGGGTCCGAGCTGTGCCATTGGGCCCCCAAAAGCGCCACTTTCTCCAGGGCTAGGGAGATTCCGATTCCTTCGGTTGCCACCCCCGCAGTCCCATTGAGAAGTGAAGCGCACCCAGATGGCATCCCATCTGAGATCGTGCGGATGAGCAAGAAATCGCGGAAGCGTTTGCAAGCTGACACTGACATGGCAGATCTTGCAGCCCATCAGGCCTTGGAGTATCACACCCAGGGGAAGGTGCTCACATTGGAGCATCCCGCCAGGAGAGTTTGGCGCTGCATTTGCGTTCATGGAAAAAGCTTCTTTGTCGCAAAGGGGCGCAGGCGGTGAACTATACTACTTGTATGTTTGATGGTAGCCGTTGCAGGAAAAAACCAGGTCCTGATGTGCAACCATCCTGCCGTTGCTTCCTTAGTGCATGGGCAGAGCCGTGTGTGACAGGACTGGCCTCAAGCACATGCGATGGAGGCCTGCCGTTTCCGGGAGGCGCGTTGTGCAATTCACCGTGGGCGACGAAAGGGAGCACCCTGTCGGCTTTTGCAAGGACTATGCCAAATGCGCAGCAGACATTGGGGACCAAAGGAGCTTTTGTTGAAGTCTTCTCTGGCCGCAATGCCCCCTTGAGCAGAGAGGTTGCGTGCGCCCTTGGAGTGCCATTGCCCGGCTTTCAAGTAGTCCGCGCCAAAGGGATCAACCGCGAGCTTCAAGAGCTCTCGAGAATCGTGAATTGTTCCACCGTTTTCCCGCCTGCGCTCCAGGAGGAACCATCCTCTTCAAAGAGGAGAGCGCCCATGCCAGAGGGTTCCTTCCATCGCCTGGCAGGCGTGGAAGCTGGGCGACAACCCAGTTATGGGAAGCGTTGTCAGCTTATTGCCGATGGGTGCAATTCTCCAATGGTCCAAACAAACATTTGGCCTTGGCTTTAGCGTTGCCTCACCCTTTTGACAGCTTGGATGTTTTAAAAAGGGACCACAGGCTGGCGTTGGAAGCCACCCCAGGGGTCAGCAGCTGAAGCCAACCTGGGCAAGCTGAGGACGTTGGGAGAGTGGCGCAGTTTAGCTGCTAGCGCAGAGATGCTAAACTTGCAAAAGCAACACGAGCAACAAGCGTGCGCCAATGCCCGCAAGCTCGGAAGGAAGCCCAGAACAGCTCTTATGGCCAAGTTGGGAATCGCGCTCAACTTGGAGGATCAGGCAGTTCCTGTTTTGTGTCACACTGGCATGCCAAGAGTTGGCGAGGCATTGGAGTCCCCGTTCTTCGAACCTCATGTGGTGCCAGCGTCCATCACAATCCATGAGCTCCTTGCCACTGCCAAAACGAGGCGCGCAGAGTGCCTCAGGCGGGTGGAGTTCATGAGTAAAAAAGGGGGGTTAGCGCAGGCTAATGCCGTGCACAAGAAGACCATCAAGGAGGTAGCTCAGGGCTCAATGGGTGGCCCCTTTTCACACGAAGAGTTGGTCAAGCGCCATGGCCAGCACTATAACGTCATCCCGAGCTTTGGCCTGGAACAAGGGGTAGATGACCGGGGCGCACCAAAGTACAGGAGAATCGATGACCACAGCGCAGGTTTCACTAACCTGGCGGCCACTCGCAAGCAAAAAACTAGCATGGCCATGGTTGACTACCTGGTGGTCATGATCAAGGCAGCAAGCGGCCACTTTGTCAGTCCTGTGCACATTGGCACAGAGGACATGAAGGCAGCCTACCGGCAGGTTCCCTTGCCTGACTCGCAAGTGGCAAAGGGCAGCGGAGCTTTTCGAAATTTATGGTCAGCCCTTTGGGGCAGGCCACGCAGTCCCCAACTTCTACCGCGTGGCGGAGTGGTTGTCACGGCTCATGATCAGAGGCTTCCACTTAGTGCTCGACCACTTCTTCGACGACTTCTTCTTGGTAGAGCGACCCAGATCCGCAGGCGTGAGTATGTTTTGCCTGCGAGAAACCTTTGCTTTGTTGGGCTTCACTTTGGACCAAGACAAGTCACAAGTACCATGCGAGGTGCCAAAGCCCTTGAGAAGGACAAACTTCTGCCTCATGGTTGACAGGATCCTGCGGCAAGACATGCTCCAGCCGAGCCTGGCAGTTAGTCTGCTCGGAAAATTTGGGTTCTTGTGCAGCACCCTGTATGGCAAACTGGGTAGGTTCTGCACTGGCAATGTTTGTGAACGTTCAGTACTCGTTCAGTTGACCAGGCTCTCACGCCCATGCTTCGGCTGAGCCTAATGCTCGCAACACGCGCCTCCAGGCAATGCCACATTGGTTGTGCTACCCCGCCTTTGGTCCTCTACACTGACGCTTCAGACGTCCCAGGCCGTTCGCCACGCTTTGTCGCGGGTGGAGTTTTAGTGCAACAACATCCCACCCTGACAATAGAGTATTTTTCCTGGGAGGTTCCGCCCTCGCTCGTCCAAGAGTGCATCCCCAGAGCAACATACATTGGCCAACTTGAAGCCGCTGCCAGCCTAGTCAGGGGATATTCCCCGAAAGTCGATTCCACCGCACTTGTCGGTGAGTTTTGGATGAAAGCTGCGGCTTTGTCTCTCGATGTCTACATCGACCGTGTAGAGTCAAAATCGAGCTTAGCCGATGGCCCCAGCCGCCTGGAGTATGGTGAGCTCACTGCAATGCAGGCGACACTTGTACACGCTGTTCCTCTAAGCTCGCTTGTTTCACATTCGCTTTTCTCTTTGCAGGGGGCTTCGCTCCCGCTTGCGAAGTCTCAGTGACACCAACACAACCTAAGGGAGCAGAACGTCACCTCAACGAAGGGAGAATACTTCCTTGGCTCCCGGGGTTGAGGGCTCCTGTGCACCCGGCTGCGGCCTGTCTCGCTCAGCGGGCCGAGATGCCAGAGAGCACAGCAGTCTCTGAGGATATCGCCATCCCAAAGAAAGAGAAAAGGAAGAGAGTGAGCGAGAGAAGCGAGCGTGTGGGAGTGTGACCAGTCAAGAATATCAACAAAAAATGCTTGAACTTGCACTATCTAGAATGGAAGTGGGGTTGCCCGGAACACGTCGGGGTTGCAAAACCCATTGGGAAGGGGGTGCTGAAGGAAACTTAATTGAAGAAACCCTGAATTGAAGACCTTCTCCTGGGGTTCAAAAGGAAACTGAAGCCCGGCTTGGTCCCATTTTCAGACAACCCTACCGGGTCATGGTTTCGACGGTTTCCGGGGTCAAAGTCAGGGGTTGTGTCCCTGCCTATACCAATTGGAGGGTGACCTTGGTAAAATAATGAGACCGGTCAATGAGGTTGACCTATATAAATGAGCTGAGGCTTGCTTTGGAGGTCGGATTTCTCAACCCTTCGGGGATTGGTTCCCCCAAAAAAAGAAAGTGAGAAGACTTGGTCATTTGGGAAGGCCTTTTCTTGGCCAGTGATATTCAAAAAGGCGGGTGATTCCCCCAACCCTGTTCCAAACCTGAAGCCAGGCTTTGCAGAACTCTTTGCTGGCGCCGTGTTTATGAGGCCGCAGGTTGACTTAGCTTAACCCTTGGTCCTTTTCAATCGAGTATTGGCTGCCGTTTTTGGAGGGTGGAACCCCTTTTTGTTGGTACGGGAAGCCAAAAGGACACCGCAAAGCCCTGGTTTGTCCATTTCTTTGTGAGAACAAACTCATCAACGCCGCCGCGGATTTCTTGCTTACCATCCAACTCTGGGCAAACTCAAATCGAAACCCGACATGCTTTTTCGGGCCATCCAGCTGGTGCTTAAGCAAACCCTGCGTCAATTCGCCATGCGTTTTCTCGACTCTCAGCGCCAGGGCGCTTCGGGCGCTTCGGGCGCGGATCACCGGGGCCACTGCGCGGGGCTGCTGCTGGAGCGAAGGCACAGCTCCGCCTGGGTGAACAGCGACGAGGAGCATCGCCTCAGGCAAAGGGGCCTTGGGCGGGGCCTTGAGAGCTGGGGGAGCTGGGGGAGGGGGATGGGTTGGGGGTCTCCAGATTCTGGGCGGCTTGATGGCTTTGAGGCAAAGCCGTTGAAGCTGAGTTCCCGTGTTCCACTTTTTGCCTTGAATACGTCACCGGGAGTTGTTTTGACATAGGGTTGAGACCTGTTTTGGGGATGGTATGGAAGGGTGGGGGCGTACCCCAGGAAAGGCGCGGAATCTTCCGACTCCATACATGTTCCCGGCATGTGGGTAATTACAAGGGAAGTATTGTGTGGAGGAGAGGAGGGCAACGTTTCGCCCAGTTGGGTATCAAAACCGCATTGTGGTCGGCAGATTCCACGGGAGCCAGGCATTTCCACTCACTGTACAACTCCTCATGTCCGAAGCCCCACATGGGGTTGTTTCAAAAGGAGCACCCCATGGCTGGTGTCCCGTTGGCTTCGCTTTAGAAAGCCCCAAGGATACCCTCAAAGCAAAGACACACCAGCCACAAAGCAGGCTGGGTTGCGGATTGAGGATACAGGTGGACGGTCGACAATCGTTCGAGCAATCTCAAAGGGCAAACACGGTGACCAGCAGTACATGTACATGTTACATAGTATATTTGCATATATACACATGTAAAGATCTACAATCCAAACCCTTTAGAACAAACGCCGTTGAACCCTGGTAAGTCATTAACAGGGCCATGACACGGAAATACGGTCAAAAACAGAGGCCTTGCGACCTGACGGGCCCTGTGAGTTGGTTGGTGGAGTTGCCCGTTGATCATTCATTCCATATGGGTGCGTCTTCTTTGGAGGTACCCTGTTTAGGTTTCCGAAAGAGAAACCAAGAATAAAGCCATCTTACGGGAACCCCGATTTCAAGACACGGCCATTTTTACAGAGCTCCTGACGTCCGGTGTGACCGAGCCAACGAGGTATGCCCAAGCGCCCAAAGAAGAGGCGATCAACATCATCGCGCAACGGCTCTACAGTAGGACGCCAAGACCAGGGGGACATACTGTGGATGGCTGCGAAATCTCTTAGGCACCACCGTTCAGAAGCCCTGCAAAATACCAACAAACACTGGTTTCAGCCATGGTTTCAAAGTGGTGAGGGATTTCGTCCATGCACGGTATTCCAGTCGTGCAGTTTTGCAGATCCCTTGTGTTTGCTTCGTTCACAGTCCACAAAACTGAGCAGCCATTGAAGCCTGGATGAACATGTGGGGTTATTGTGGTTAGTTCTTCCCTTGGGGGGATATGGCCTCGAGATGGGTTATGTTGATTCGACCCGTTTTTCTTTGTGCTGTTGTGGTCTGGACTTCAACCTGTAACTGTTTAGTTGAACATGTGTCTTTTCAACCGCTAACTAACCAACGGCTATTCACTTCTGCTACTTCTTGCTAGTGGGGCAGTCGGATTTTCCTTTTGACAAGGTGGCGTCGATGACCTTTTAGTTTTCCCATGGGCTATTTGTTCCGTGGTATTAGGTTCACCTACTTTCTCCTTTTTGGGCATGTTTGTGGCACGTGCTTGCTTCCCAAGGGTTGCCTTTAACCCTGCCGCTCCTTTATCCGAAGGATATCAAGAGGCGCAGCGCGAAGGGTGCTGAAACTGCACAGCAGCTTGAGAACGGATGCAGAAAGGCCGGGATCTCGCCGCATTTGTTTTCTGTTTGGCCTGGTGGTTTGGACATCAGGTTTGGTCCGAATGTGTCAAAGGGAACTGGGGTTCAAATCCCCAAACCAGTTTAAACAAGCAAATGCTCTGCTATAACTCCCCGAAAGGTATGGGTTGATGGGGGCCCGGTCCCAAAACCTACAAAACCATCCCTGAGTGTTTTGTTGGGAATCTGCCGGGAATGGTTTCGCGCACGCTATCACACTGTCCGGTTGAATGACGTCAGCCTCCCCCCCCCAGGACTGCTGGAACTGCTGAGCAATCCTGTTGGTGTCCTTTTAACAACACTCCAAACCGGGTACCCTGACATTTACACACCTGGAACGGCTGATGCAACCCCCCCCCGCAAAAAAAGGAGAAGGAAAAGGAAACGCTCACGGCTGCGGCAGGGCTGCGGTGTTGGCAGCCATCAAGGCCCGCCAGACGCCAGGGCCCCAGAGCCAAACTGATTCACTCGAGGACATATTTTTCTCCAACCGCGGCTGTTTTTCTTTTTTTTTGTTGATTGGGGAGGGGGCGCTTGGGAGTTCCCAGCGCGAACGTGTTGAGACCCGTCAGGTGCTTGCCAGAGTTGCGTGCGCTTCCAGAAAGTATTACACGTGCCTCCTGCGGGCCTTGTGCCAGCCGTACAAGCCACATGCTCGGAATGTAAAGGGCATGTGTCAAAAGGGCAGGTGTCCAGATGGCCATGATTTCCTCTTTGGGCCCCCCTTGTCTGAAAGTCAATCGCCACCCTTCCAGGTGAGCGGTCAATATTTACCATGAACTCCAAGACGTGGGCAAGCGAAGCCCGAGAGAGTGATCAAGCAGAGGAGAGGTTTCTCATGTCACTTCGCACAGTCAACTAATCAACTAAACATTGACCGAACGTGCCATGTTGACCTGAAGTTTCTGGTGGCTTGTGCAGCACGATGTCAAAACTGCATGCATTTACCTAGTTGCTCACTCACTTACGTAGGTGTTTGTGCTTGCTTATTTGCTTGCCTATCTTACTTGCTTGATTGACATGCAACCCAATAGGCTGCCTCCCAAAAGAAGTTTCCTCGCAGCATGATAGTTTTGGGGCTGCAGGTTCATCTGCAGGGAGTACAGCGCACTCATTCAAATCCCGGCTGGTTTTCCAGCAGTGCACACATGCGCGCGCACATACCAGAGGGTATCCTGAGTTTTCAATAGACCTGACCGACTGAAAGAAGAAACAACGACTCAACTCCTTGCCAACAAGTTGCAAAGGCAATCGAACAAGCTCCTTAGCTTCAGCGGAAGCATTTA